ACAGAAGGAGAGATTCATTTGAATAGTTTAATTACTGCATTCCTCGGTGTAGTAAGGATTGCAGAGACACTCGATGGCATGAATCAGCTTCCTCCTTGGCCCAACTGCATCTGCACCCATATCTTTGAGTTTGCTCATTGTAAGATTGACTAACTGATAAATTCCCACTTTTTCCTTCTCGAAAATATGAATGAATTGACCGAGCCCCACTGAGACCAGCCAGGTTCTAAGCCCTCCCAATATTTGGAGTTTCCTCTCAAGGTTTAATGCGCGCAATCTCCAATTTGCAACCTTTGACATACCAATTGGTAGCCTTGGAATGCCTCCAGTTTTTCTTGAGAACATGAATGTTTGCATTTTGGAATAAACCATACAATTTCCATTTATGAGTTCATGAGTTAGTGGTGCATGCTGCATCAATGGCATCCGAGATGCATGATGCTGAATATTATCTGTAGTACCGATTGCAACTGGAGAAACAAGGTTTTGTAATGATCTTTGATATCCCAGTCGCTCACCATCAGTTTGAGTTCCATTTTCAGAAGGTTTTGCAGAAGGTTTAAGTTCAACCTCAATATGAGATTCACCCTTAGAAATGGTTGCAGTAGGTTTATAGCTTCGGCTGTTCGAGAGCCTGCGACCCCTTTTCTTTGGATTACCTGAGCTCCTCCTGATGATTTTTGTTGACTTGGTAGAATTTGCCTCAGGACTCTCAGGTTGGTCCACAGGTGATGGTGGGGGAATCAAAATGACAATCCTTTGTTTTTTAACTATCACCCACTCTTTTTCCACTTCCTCATGCTCGGCTACCGAGTTTGATAAATCCATGAGATTTCTGAAGAGTGAGTCAAAATTATCTTCAGAGAGACACTGGTTTTAACAGGTGTCCAAATCCATGCATCTTGGCAGCAGATCAGACCTGCCAATATACTTGTTCTTGTTCATATTATGACAATACTTCAAGCATAAATATCACCAACAAAATATTCTGAACTCAAATTGGCACAACAGAAACATACAACAACAACAAAACCGTAAGTCCCAACTAATTGGGTAGAGGAAAATCTAGGAATGTTGTAAAAAAAATTTACACCAATTGCCAAACAGGACAAATGAGCTGCTACAGAATAAGACCAATTTCCAAACATAAATCATGTTTTTGGCAATTTACTCAATTGCCAAACAGGACAAATGAGGGGCAACAGAATAAGACCAACATGGGTTTTACAAATTCAAATCATGCACTCATCTTATAAATGATCCTCGTATAAGCACACAACAAAAATTAATCCAAATAAGGAAGAAAGATGATGTTCAGGACTGTACAAACTCATGTTTGATAAACTTGATTGCTCTATCACTAACTTTCTAAGAAAGAAATAATTTAGCATTCAACAGGATAAACGTTTTAGTGAAAAGATTACTTACTTACTCTGAACACTAAACCATAACACTATGATGATGTATAAAAATACAATAGGAGGCATAAAATGACAATTATGTTTATCCATGACACTAAGCCATGTTTGGTTCAAAAATAGCTATTCTGGGAATAGGAACAGCTACCCTTGGTGATAATTACTATCTCAATAACATCCTTGTTGCAATTGGCTGGAGTGTCATAGGAAAATTGATTGTGGAAATAAGTACAGATGCGTCTCTAACTTTATAATAACTTAAAAAGCTGATATTGAAAACTGTGGGGACAAAGCGGAAACAATGCAATTCAATTGCACTCCAGCTCCCACAAAATTGTTATGCCTATGATCTAGGTAGCAGTAGTGATTAATTTTTTTTCTTAATGATCTACACAATTCATATTGGTGGGGATTGAACAATTCCCTCCATGTTTGACAAAATAATGGGACAAATGCCAGTATTCTGCCTCAATAACTAACTTGACAAAATAATTAACTTCAAAAAATTAACAATAACTATACCCTATGATCAAATCACGATTCTAAGAGTTTACAACTTGACATTTGATACTCATTTGAGCAGCTATTTATGTGGTAAATTATAAAGGCAGCTAAAAATCCAAGCAAGTTATGTTGTATATATTCGGCATGCATTATCATATTATATAAATAATATAATATAACAAATAATAATGAAACAAAAGGAAACATGCTCCATCATATAAGTTTACATCTCTGTTAATTTTTGCTACATGATTAGCCAAATTAGCGAAGCAACAGTGAAACTCAAGAAGAATGAAGGGTGGTCAAAGGTGTTACAACTTAATTCTGCATGTATTCTAGCCCAAAGTCAGGCAGGGGTGTTGATGGAGCCTGATAACCTGGAGATCTGACCACTATTCGACGTATTTTAAAGTATGATTCCTCATGGATTTCATACATTTATTGTATAGAGTATGAAACCAGGATCTATACCTGAAATTGTGTATGATATGATAGCTGGCCCAAATCAAACCCAAAATTTTTGAAATGTTTTCTTATTTTAACACAGCTGATAAGTGAGACATCATTAAAGTGGTCTGAATTCAAGAATAGCATTGTGACACTGATATCCATAAAATATCTACTAAAACTTGGTATAGGGAATCGGCCCATGGAATAAGAAAATAAGAAACAATTTAATCAAAATCTTCAAGCAATGCTTTCTTAAACTCTTTTCCAACTACATTCATGCTGCTTATTCTCTTCGGAAATCATGCACTTGGACACATTCTTGAATGACTTGCATCCCATTAGATGACTTGAATATATAACATGATTAGAACTTTAGAACCAAGAAGCCAAAGGGACACTCTAGTACAAGATCTTACACTGGCAGGAAAGTCAAGAAGCAAACTAGCATATGGTATATATGCTGTGAGCCAAGAAAGTAAAGTACTGTGAACTTAGTAAATAATGAAGTATATAAAGAACCAAGTAGCAATATCATAAGGAAAAAAAATCCATCATTTAAGCAAATACACAAAACAGAGAATATGCAACTCACATGAATGCTTTGCTGACACAAGAATAAGGAGCTCAATTCACTGAAAATTAGTCGTGTATTACTCTTCTGTTGAGGATGTGATAAGAAATATATCTAAAGGATGAAAGTTCCTCATGTCAAGCATATTTTCTTTTGCCAGAAGCAAGTTCAATGGATGACCACCATGGACAATCTTAACAAGACTAAAAGCTATGGTAAAGCGTCGTACAAGATATAAGATCAGACACTTAATCTTTCTTGGCCCACTGAATGACTAGATAAGCCAAGCATAAGCAAATATAATATGCAATAGAAAACAGAAGAAATTTCATAAGAAAACCTTTTTCACTACAGGAAAAAAAGGGAGACGTTATCATCACCTATCAATTTCAACCAAGCTTCACTACAGATCCACCAGTGTTACTTGACAAAATGGACAATTATCTATATCTAATGGACTGTTTGGCCAAAGAGAGGGTTGATTTCTCTTGTCTGCTTGCGATAACCAAATGAAAGTACTAATGAGAGAAATTTGCCCATGCTTGCTTGCAATAACTAAAGAAAAGTAAAGACAAAGCATTGTTCGCCAGTTTGAAGAGAAGAAATTAAAAACGGAAATTACATTTCTCTTCAAGCTGAAAATTTCTCTCTCCGAAGTTAGAGAAACTTGAAGAGAAGGAACAATCCCTAATGGTTTCATTTCAATTCAAACTATTGCCTACTTCTTTTATTGGCATAGCTGTGATATGCATCAACTAATATTGCCCCAAAGCACTTCTTATTCAAATTCTTATCTCTTCAATGATGGGGTTTAAAAGAGAGATATATATTCACGAAACCATATTTTTTCCTATAAACATGTAAAATGTTCTTACCTTAAGAAACCGTGTAATGTTCCATGCATTGAGGAAACTCAAGAAAGATCTGTAATCACAACAAATTCCAGAAATGGTACACGGTTTTAGTTTGACCCATCGACAAGAACTATTCCGCCAAACAGCACAAAAATTAACCTAATCAGTCTCACATCACATCTCAGCTCGTATTAGTAAAATACCAATTCGTGCATCAATATGGGTTTTGTGACCATCTGAGAATCGAATAAAACTTTGGGCTTTAGCAAGAACAAGGAGAAGGATTTTGGACAAGGAAATCCATCAAGCATCAAAATTTAGGGATTACCGGCTCTTAATTTTTCCCATCAAGGGAGCGACCAACGGCGACAAGTTGCTTCGAACGGCGAGGCGACGCGTATGGGGTATCTCCGCTTTGGGCCCTGCGGGGAAGAACAAAGAGGCCGTCGACTCCCCACTCAATGGCCAGAACATTCGCGAAACAAATCTAAAGTTGGCATCAAGATACGTGATACTGATCACAGAGAGAGAGAAAGAGAGAGAGAGAGAGAGAGAGAGAGAGGCGCCTTTCCGAACCTATCAAGTTCCCGTCCTCGACGGCCGTGTAGGTCCGATCCTGTGCTTCCTCAGGCCGGCGACAAACGCCGTGAGAGACGAACTCCGGCTTCTTACGCGACGAGGACTTCGGTGTCACACTCCGAGACATTCGCAAGAGAAGAGCTCCAAAGTGGTCTCCTTTGGTTTCTAATAATCTTTAATGCATGATTTCAATCAAAGAAGCTGAGAAAGTCGTAATGATATCAATTACCTCTTGGAGATATTAATCTTCTTCTTCCCACCGGCCTAATGTTATCCATGGCACCGTTTAAACAACTGATGATGCCCATCAATTGTTCGATGAAAAGACTAATTACTCCCACATCAAACATTTACATGCAAATCAGAAATTTCTCTTTATCCACACTGAGGGATTCAACCTTTCTTTCTAAATCGATTTCTCTCTAAAAACAAATTGGATTATGACGAATCAACCATAAAAAATTGGCGTTAACAAATTGATAATGTACCAATACAGACATAAAATATATAATGACAGTAATCAATGAGCAGAACTGTTATCATGAGTACTACTCACTCCTTGTCCTGATCATATATGTAAATTTCATGTGTGTTCTTGCTATTGCTAATGTTGATACTTCATCATAACTGCCGAACGCAAAATAAATATAGAGAGAGAGTGTGTCTCCAGCAAACGCCCTGCTAATTTAGTTCACTGTGTTCTCAACCCTTAAAAAGAGTTAGCGGCAAACATGATCCACAACCACAAGGATCATCTCGTGGAGATCGTACAAAATGCACATGCAAAGCATTAAGTTAAAGATCCTACGTAGTACCAACTCCTCAGTCCTCATACATTTCTAGCTCTCAACATGGGCCGATACTTATTAGGAAGTGCATGCCTTGAGAGTTGCAAAGCTCGATTCAGGGAGCATACATCAAGATCAACGGCGCCGATTGCCGGTAGCTGCCTCCCATGCTTGCAAGACATGGTTTACGATTTCCTCGACGCCAACTCTGTGCTTCACCTGCAAGTAGACAGCCTGAATAAGCCTTCAAACACCATGTCAAAAAGCAAGAGCTGTACAAGAGAAAAGTCCATTTTGTATCAAGATGTAGTTTATATATGCTAGTTTTTTTTTGTGGTCATAAAACCAGAAAAAAAAAAATTAGAGCATGGCATTGTCAATAGAAAGAACTTAAGTGGGTTGTGGCACTACGTCCAGCACCTTACCCTCTGTAGATTATTCTTTCTTTTGAAGTAGTTTCATCTGAAATAAGATATCAGATGGGAGTGAAGTGCTAACATGTGATATATGCAATTTTTAAACAGCAAATAAAGGATTAAGCTTGGGAGCAATGAAGATGACAAATACCAATTCAGTAATTCAACCGAGAGAATGAGAACAAAAACCTCTAAAACACAATAACTAGTCATCACGAATGTAGCTGCTCTCTCAGCTAATTGTCCACTTTAGGGTGAGCCACACATGGTACCATGGCCGGTGCAGGTTCTTTGCAGGTTGTTTGAACCATGAGGAATTGTTCATTTGGAGATGGACCTCACATGGTTTTGTCGTTTAGGGGGTGGAGTCACCTTTGGTTCTTTATCAGTCTCCAACTCTCCAATCAATTACATATAAAGGTCTTCACCTCTTTTCAGCAATTTAGCTAAACTGATGTTTTCTAACTTTAAAAAAAAAACTACAATTTTCCTACAATGATTCACCTGTCAACAAAAAACTATATTTTTCTTACAATGATTCAACTGTCAAAATACCACTATAGATAGTTTATCTAGCCTGATGTTTTCTAACTTAAAAAAAAAAACTACATTTTTCCTACAATGATTCAACTGTCAATAAAAAGTTATATTTTTTCTACAATGATTCAACTGTCAGAATACCACTAAAGATAGTTTATCTCGCATAATCTTTAAGTTGGTTCTTTATATCAGTTTAATGAACCTGAGCAAAAACAAAAGGCCCTCCATCGCGCATGCGTAGTGCATCCCTTTCCATAATTTTCAAGTCAGCTCCGACCGCTTGTGCTATGTCTGTCTTGTTTATTACCTAAGACATAAAATGTAGATAATCAGATGATACTCACACTTCAATTTCAAGTATTAGGCAATAGAGCAAAGTGAGTAGTAGGGAATTGTAACTTGAAAAACAAAGAAGAAACCGACATTCTGGCATACCAAAAGATCTGCTTGGGTTATCCCTGGTCCGCCTTTTCTAGGTATTTTATCACCACCAGAAACATCGATGATGTAAATTATATAGTCTGCTAATTCTCTGCTAAAGTTAGCAGCTAAATTATCTGCATCAATAAGTAAGATCAATTAATTTCAACCATGTATCTTAACAAACCATGTAATGGATCCATATAACTCATCTAAGAAGGACAAAGAAAAGAGTGCTAATGCAACACAAATTAATTAAAAAAAGGAACAATTACCAGGCCAGATTCTGATCGTCATAAATGAAGTAATAATTTACTACATCAGAACCCTGCTTTATAGGAGAAAGCATAAAGGCATACTCAATTATCAAATCATTCTGTCTATGAAGAAGAGCTGTCAATCTGCGGCTCATTGCTATGCACAGCAAAGACAGCAGAAGGGATAAGTAATATAAATAAATGAGAAACAGGAAAAGCTGTCTTGTCCAGCTTCAGACAACCAACCAGCATCAGAACACAACAGTTAAGCCAAAAGAATAAGTAAAGAAGTGGCAAAATAAAGCTGTGAATTTCTTTTACCCTGCATATGATTAGTAAATTAACTCACCAAGGTTTAAATCCTTGCTAGTAAGAATACATTACAAAGTGAGAAGAGAACACAAGTTTTCTAACCCCAAGGTCCTAAAAGACCAAATAAATACATCAAGGTTTCAGTTAACAAGGTCCAAGAGATTCTCTTTCATAACCACCAAATTACTAATGCATCGCCCATTCATTGTTGTCATTTTTAACTGGAGCCTATATTATTCTAGTCATATCATAAATCTTGTCCAGAAACCAGAAAGGTCTTTCAACAGTCAAAATAGTTCCAAAAAGTCAAAAAAAATTAAATCACATGCCAAGCAAAACCCATAAAATGCCAAATATACAAAATTATGTAGGAAAACCTGGAAACAATTTGAGACAGAAGAACAATTTGATCTTGCCTCATAGTCATTGGAGGAAAGAGGATACCACTTGCAGATGTTACCTTTAATGCTGAAAGGCCATCCCTAAAATCTTACAATTAGATCAATGTTAATACATTATTACATTTTACATGTTAAATGCTTTTTCATGCCTATGATTACAAATTTTTAACCACCATAGTCATTCAGGATGCTTCCACACATAAAAGGGCTTGTCTGTAGATCACAAAATTATTCTTAGTCGATATCCTATGGATTATATATAGTTAAAAAACATTTTATGCTTTCAAAATGTTCCCAATCATAGGCATTTGCAAATGTTGCTTAAGACAATTGTACATTGCTAAATTAGGATGACCTAATGATGCATATTGGCATGACAAAAGATTTCTGCCGATCCGCATCCTCTGAATACCTAAAGCGTGCAAGAAATTATCAAAACCCAACTTTACCTAAGAAGATGAATACATTTGTACATCTTAAAACATCCTAAGCTTGAGGACTATTAATTTCCCTCCATAAGAATTTCCATAACCACCAAAGACGAGCATTGTCGATTTTCATTCTCACCCAACAGCCTCTGCCTATGTTCTGCATGTCCTTATCTTGTATATAGGATTTCATCTTTATTTATTTTACCCACATTAATATCAACATCAGCTTATCCATTTTACCCAGCACTTTTATTCTAAAAGCAAGAAATAAGGCACAAAGAAGATCTAACATAGACCTGTCAATTCTTGACCCAATATAGCAAACCAACATGAACCCAACAGAAATAAGTTAGGTCTGTGTTGAGCCTATCTGGATTTGGCTCATAGATAGGTTGACTTGACTAACCTGATTAGCAAAATTGGTCGACTTCAGATTTGGGGGACTGACATTACTTACCTGAATTGACCCGATTAATAATCAAGTTAAACATGTTAAGCATGCAATTTTTTTAATTAGCATGTAAACAGTACCATGTTTGAGTCATATGTAACTCAAATTGTGCCATTAAATGATTAGGATAAATGAATGCATTTAAATCATGTAAGAAGGTGAAGTCTTCTTGAAAATAGATTAATCATGTCATGATTAACACAATTTGACCAAGCCTTTATATTAAAGGGTCAAGTAGGTTAAGTTGGGTAACATGACTATTAAATGGGTTGAGGTTTGGATTCGAATATTTCCGATGATTATTAAATGGGTTTAGTTTGGGTTGAGAGTTCTGTTCAAGTATATACATCTTGATCTGACATGACACATTGACACCCAAATTTAAGGCTAGAATTAAGTCAACCTTTTTCTTAAACTGATACTCAAATATGTGGTGCATAATATATAGGTCTAAATAAATTTTCTAGCTGAAGATTGAGTTGAGGAAAATACCTCCTCCAGATTCACAAAGAAGTATGTCTGCCTTATACAAATTAGATAGCTCTTCCAGAGGGCCTAGATTAATACTTATATCTTCTCGTATAGCAGCATGTGGGCAGCCTCCAGTTTCAACAGCACGAATCCTTTGCTCTGGAAGTGCTCCATGCTTCACTAAGAATTCTCCATCCTCTTTTGTGAATATATCATTTGTTACCTGGATAATGTCATAAAAAACTCATTAAAAGAATTAAACCAGACTAATACAATGAAGTTTTATAATATATAATATGATTGAAAACTGTAGGAAGCAAAGAACGTGTATTTCTGCATTCTGCACAAAAAAATTTGCAGATTTGCATTCTGCACAAAAAAATTTGAACGTGTATTTCTCATGCAAAACCAAATCATATGGAAGCTGTCTCTTCTTGCAGTGGTAAGGTTGGTTATGTTGGACCTCCCTAAACCTCATAGTGGCGGTAATCTCATGCGCTGGGCTACCATTTTTAGTGGTAACCATATATTCTTAATGTAACTATGCTTAAGAGGTTCCATAAATTACCCATGATATGTGATTCATAGAAAAGTACAAAAGATGCAATGCACAACTTCTATGCTTCAAGGGGCAACCTCTGCTGATTCATTGGCATTATCTTTGAGTTCAAGCTTGTCATTGATGATTTCTTATGTACAGCCTTAGAAAGTTCAAAAGTAAAACTTCTTAATGAGGCAGCAAATTTTGAGAGTATAAAATTCCTTCTTTTTCATCCTTTGGAGCAAAGTTCAATATCATTTAAGCTTAAAACAAAGGAACCAAACAAGAAAGAAGAAGAATAAGCACAAATATTATAACAGCACTTATTTCACAGTATACCTTAAGCACCTAAAATTGTCAAATTTGTATCAATTCCAACACAAGAAGTTCGGCCTTTCAACACTTCCACAACATCAACATTAATCGAAAGTTTTCTCCATAAGTCTTGCTTCATGTGTCCATCTAAACCTCTTGATTTTAGAGAGCAATAACTACCAGATCAAGAAATTGAAATAAATTGCAATAAATAAGATATCCAGTTCTCTTCTTTACTTCCATGTTTCCTCAGAAAAATTATCATTGTCATCCACTGACAAAAAATTCAAAGAAACAGAGGACAAAAAGCTTAAACTGCATTGATCTCGAAGTTCATACTTACCGCTGCAAGACTGTATTTGTCACGTAGAAATTGGCAAAGTGCCAGCATTAAAGCTGTTTTTCTGCATCATGCAAAAATTAGTGATGTTAATAGATAATCAACCTTGTGTGAGTAAATACTACAATCATATCCTAGAGATCCTCTTTTTGACTTAAGGAACTCCTAGCACACTAAGGAAAAAAGAAGATAAGCACATCAAAAATCACTTTAGAAACTAGACTGATTACTTGATGACAAGACCATGGTACAGATAAAAACTTGAAATTATAAGTAATTTGCATCCGATCATAAATTCAGAAAACAATCTTAACTGAATTGCAGATTAGGTGGTACAATACAATAATTTTCAGAAAATTATTAGAAAAGTTCACGTTCACTTTCATCGCAAGCATCATGTTTATTAAGATCCCTGTATTTCTTTATACTGTTCATTATTTTCAATCAAAACCTATCAGAAAACATTGTTGTTAGCCCGAAGCACATCCACCATATCTAAGACATTCATCATCACTGATGCCCCAGATGTTCAGCAATTGGGTTCTACGGTATACTTCATTTCCTTTTTTTTTAATTTCTTCAAATGCAAGATATTGTGATATTTTTATACGCATGACATCATCTGGCCCAAGAGATTTAGCAGGTATTACACTATTAGAAGGAATTACACTATTAGAACCTGTCATTTTTCTAAAAGAACTTCCAGGGTATATTGCTTGCTGCAATGTGTGTATGTAACATTAGTTTCACTAAGAAATGGTAAGGTCTTCAAGTCAATCCTTTGCATTTGACATCAAACTAACAGTATCCATAAAACAAGCAAAACTTAGTCATCGTATTGATAATAGAGCTTAATTCCAAAATAAAACGTTGGTCAAACAAGTGACACCACAAGTTAGATAGCTCACACTGTGTGTAGATGCACCACAAAATATTCTGTAATACTTGTTCTACTTTTACCAAAACCTAAATACATAATGATTTACTTAAAATTTTGGTCCATAAGAAGTTGAGAGATCCCTTTATGTGACAACATTGAGCCAAAATTTTAACCTTTCAAGTCCAAAAATTGACAAAGAAATATTTTTTTAAGAATCTTTGAAACTTAAAGCTGTTTTATTTGATTTAAGAGGAAGGAGAAGGGTAACCCGGTGCCGACGGGGCCGCCGATGCCGACAGTGAAAGCGCGCTCCTTGAAGTCCCTGTCAACAAGGGGCGGCGCGCGCTTGCTGAAGAACCCCGGTGAGTAGATGGGCTCGTGCGAGTGCGGCGCCAGGCCGTCGTGGGAGTGGTACACCCTCCCATCCGGACCGACCCACGATGCCGCGGCCAAGGAGCCTTCTCTGCGGGAAACCACATCAAGAAGACAGAAGAGCAGCCCGTGAATGAGAGAGACGAGGAAACGCCCCACGAGTGGCATCAACAAAACGAAAAGAGGAGAGGAAGAGAGGACATTTACTCATGGGTATGATGGTGGCGATCGCCTTCGTGGTGGTGATGATGGTGGTGGTCTTGGGAAGACATGGAGTCGGAGGGAGGAGTTCACGATGAGGTAACCTGAGATCCGAGGGGTAAACAGATTAAGTGAGAGAGAGCGAGAAGAAAGAGAGAGAGAGAGAGAGAGAGAGAATTGGCCAATAATATTTATATTGTTTTCTCACCCAATCATCTCTTATTTCAAAAAAATTCACAAAGTACCTAATCAAGTACATTAACTGTAAATTACAAAGTACCTAATCAAGTACATTAACTTTATTAGCATCTCACGATATATTAAAGAAAGAAACCATATTCAACGGAAGACCCAAAGGTAATATCAGCCTATACTATTTATTTCATAAGGTCCAATTCAGTAAACAAAATAATTTATAACATATATTCTTTTTCATCCAAACAACCTTCTTAAACTAAAGGGCAAATTTAGTCTTATCCCTTTAAAAAATTATTTTAATAACTTCTTTTATGTTTATAAATAAATAAATATATATATATATATGTATTTCCTGCAAGGAGATTCTTAAATAATTATAAATGCAAAATTTTCAGACCATGGAGAAATGGGAACCATTAAAGTTATTGATCCAATACAAGTATGGACAATTTGGCTGAAATAGTGGACCTGGTTGTCCTAAAGATACTCCTTTCATGCAAGTACTTCCACAGTGTTCTTGTATCAAGCTTCCCCTCTCACTAGTACTTGTGGTGTTAAAGCTCTTCTTTGTTCTGTGGCTGGAGCTCAACCTAATAATACACAATCACATGGACTTCTTCAAAGCTTCTGAGATCATCCATGGCCTGGAACTTCGCCCCTTCCTCTTCTCTCCCCAAGCCTCCTCCTTGGGTTCAGGCTACAGAGAGAGTGCCAACAAAGAACCAGAGTGTGCTGTTCAAGCCCACAAGCTCAGAGAAGTGTTTCTCTCCCTGTAAAGCATCACAATCAGAGAGTGTTGCAGAGGATACCAGTCCAACCAGTAAAGATTCTGACCTTTGTTTTTGTTGTGCTTTTCTTTCTTTTTCTTGTTGGAATGGATACTACAACGATCTCAACTCCAAAGATGTAGAGATCATAGAAACTGAAAAAGAAAAGAAACTCTGCTGTAGACCAGTTCTTTGGCTTTGGATGTTCAAATGCTATATAGCTGTTACAATTCTGACTACAAGAGTAATCTTCGGACATGTAGAAGAAAGAGTCATTTAGTATATATAGATAGCGTCATGAATTCTAGCCAGATACCAGAAATAATCATTTAGTACAGGGAAAAAGATGGAAATAATATAGTTTTCTTTTACAGCCATTAATTGCCCATAACAAAGTGTTCTATCAAAATATATTATCAATCAGTAGTGTATTTTTTGGGTTGTTTGTTTATCAAAAGGAAAACAAGAATCACCTAACCTCTGCTAGGTTATTGCAGCATGCAATTTTAAGATGCTTCAAGATGCTTACTGCAGCATGGAATTTTATTATTACAGAAGTTTCAAGATAAAACATCACCTGTCTTCTATCATTACGGAAGTTTCAAGATGCTTACTGCAGCATGCAATTTTATCCTTGTTCATTCTATATAAATGTGTAGTCAATTAGTAAAGAGGGATATTAATGAAAATTTTAGTACCTGGGTCAAGACTCAAGAGATAAACTTCGGGCAAGCACCAAATAGTTAGAGCCATAGATGTCATACTAACTTCCACTAGTTTCTTTCAATGTCAAAGTGATCTTCCATAAAAAAATTTCCAGGACATGATCATGATGACCATAGATGAATGCCAGAAACCTGAAAAAAATATAGTTTAGAACTTTGTTAGGAACAAGGGAAAGGATGAATAAAGTAGGATTTGAACTCTCCCTATATACATATTGTATATACACACACACTCATCATTTCCCTTACCTTGGTTCTTCTTTTGCTTCCGTTGTTGATAGCCTCTACCTTTAGGACGACAATGCTTCTACTCTTTCAAACAAATTTGTGAACATGTATGCTTGAGCATTTTCTTTGTAGTAAATCTGAAACTTGTGTGTGTGTTCAAAGGCTCATCGGCACGAAATCAACTGGATCTCTTGGAACAACTGACATCTTCCTCTCCTACTGCAAGTGGTATGTACAAGTTGTCAAAAAGGATTACCAGCTAGCATTAGCATCACCACCACTTTGTCAAAGATGACTCACTATGACTTTGCAAACAGGTTATGACAGTCTTGGTGATCCCCCCAGACCTACCATCCGAGAACAGCTTTCTGAAATAGTAGGAGACAGAGATGGTGAGTTCATCCTTCCACTTGGTAAGAAGCTGAAAGCAAGTCTGAATACATTGACCATATCACAGAAAAGAAACATCAAGCGACAGGCTTACCTGAATGAAGTTGAACAAAGAAATGACTCCGTCTTCTTTGCAACAATTGGAGCATTTGTGCTTCTACCACCAGCAGTCATCTTGTCTGTTGCCATATTGACTGGATATGTGCAGCTCTTCCCCTGAATACAGAAAGGATGTTTCTGTTTCCATGTTATGCTCACCATACTGTTAGACATCAATATTACAAATCTGAAGCATGAACATTTCAGGAAGTGGCTTTTCCTGCAAATCCTTCACATACTTCCATTACTGCAATCTTCTCTTCACAGAATATCACAGTTACTGCATCCTACAGGTTCATATAGCTTTTTCCTGCCATTAATGCCTTGTGTCAAACTTGCACATTCCTGCTATGGCACTGGTCTTCATATACTTCCCTTGCTCCAAGCAATGCTCTCCAGGCTACTGCATCCGACTATAACTATAATAATTGACACAAATAGGAAAAGGAAACACAGGTTGCCAACTTGAGATCTAAATATATCACCATGCCTTGATATTCAGCTTAGAAAAAAAAAAGGTGTACAAGAACTGAAATTTGTTTTGCCTTGATATCATCATGAACCAGAGAAGAGAAGGGTTTTGATGATGATGTTGTTAGCAAGAGATCCATAGTTCTGCTTGGACCATATTTAATACAAATGATCTAAAACAAATTAAAAGCTAGAGTAGAAAATTTGTCTTTTCACACCAAATGGCTCCTCAACGATAGTTGAAAGCCAAGAATGTAGTACTCAACTAGTAACATCACCACATTACAAGATAGTGGACCTTTTTATTTTTCTAAAACCAATAGGTTCCACTAGTAAAGACAGGAGATTCTTTAAGTATCAACACTCAGAAAATCTAGTTGTACTGACAAAATGGAACATGCAATCTTTGAAACACTATGGTGCGCTGGGAACCACACCTACAACATTTTCATTCGGAAGATATTTAGACTTTTGAGATTATATCTTGCAGCCCACAGACCATATTAGATGGTACGGCAACATCCATCATCTTGGGATATGCCAAGTTTAGATCTGAACACAGAAAAAAAGGAGCATATTTAGAACAAAAGGCTTTGCTGGTAGAAATAGTGTGCGAGTGAAAATCTACAGGTAGACATATATAAAATTTAAAATATTATCAACACTCACTTTCCATGATGTCCTTGAATGTTTCCTGTGAAGAAAATTTCAAGATAAGAGTAATTAGAAAGGATACATTAACAAGGAAAAAACAAAACAAAAAAAATGAATTGAATAATGAATCAGCTCGACTATAGGCAAGAGGCTATTCTGTCATTTCAAATTAACTATTGGATTAGTACCACTGTCTTCATATGGATTTCATTCTACATATAATTCCCTTGTGAGTGATTTATCAAGCTAGAGGTTGAATCTTTTTCATCTTTAAGAAAAAATTGTGCCTTTCTCATAACTAAGATACTTAGCATATCTCCATCAAAAAATGGAAACATTGCAAGGGATACCACCTCATCCTTTGTTAGCCGAGGATTATAGACAATCTCCTCTCCAACAGTAGTAACCTGCATGCAGAAACAGAATGTATAAGCCTGGTGATAAGGAAAAATTGCAAGAAGTTATTTCTTACCGTGAATCCTTTGTAGTCATGACCAGGGTAAAGGAGCATATCCTTTGGCAATGTGAATATCTGATACATGTAATAACATAAACCATTAAATTGATAATGCACCTAAAAATATGTTTAAACATGCACATGAAATTACAGTTTCTTGCCTGTGAGTGCACTGACTGGTACAGCTGATGTGAACTTCCACCCTGTACAGCAGACCATTCAATTAAAACTTCATTTGAAAATAGAACTGAGATCTTCTGGTTTCAACTAGCACAACAAAACTAAATAAATTAAGAGACTTCATTTCTCTGACATAGTGACAACAGTAGCAAGAAATTATGTGTATCATGTTCAAGCACAGAAGAAATTCATTAACATAAAGCTTGTCAAGTTTGCAGTTGAAGAACCTTGCCACTTCTTTTAGCAAAAAGCATCAAAAACCATAGTAACTAAATGCAAAAAAATGATAGAAACCATGTAATATCAAATCTAAATTTCCTTATGAAAGCATCTGCTATCTAGCTCCACCAACCGAATAAACATAATAACAACCCTAAGAATGCCAAGAATGAACAGGAAATATTTGTAAGTGACGTATTCCTGCAACTGGTAGATCTCCAATTTATAAGAAGATAAATAATCATCTTGCCGTAGTTAATGCATTTAGCATGATCTGACTCCTTTGTGAACTAAAGAATGTGGCCAATTCTAAGATCAACAATTGAAAGACCACAGTAACCTAAAATCTAATTGTCATATAGTTATTTTAAATATTTCTTAACGGTATTATGTTAGAACTTATTTCTGCTAACAACTATAAATGGATAACATTCAAATATTCATAATTAGATTTGTTTCATACCAAGGAAAAGTTTAAGATATGTCTTATGATAATATAAGATAGTTCAAATATTTGTACCTGAAAATCTGTTCTTCCGCAGCCATGAATCAGCAACGCATCACCAGTGAAGGCCATTCGTGGATAAGGCTGATCAGATCCAACTCCTGTTACATAGGTGACACAACCCACAGTATGACCAGGAGTGGCACGAACCTGTATAAGTTTATTTTAGATTTAGTTTTCATCAAACAAATATTAGAATGTCCAACTGCAAAATTATGGAAATATGTGTCCTTGTCAAGTGGCAGCCAAGGACGTCTTTATAATGTTTATAATCAAAACTAGACATTTCATGGTATCATATTTATAAGCGCATCCAATATAGGCGGCCAACATGACAAATTAGTTAACAACTAATTTGACGTGTATTTTATCCTTCAATAAAAACCTTGTGAAGAGGTTTGTGTTGAACATTTATGTTAAGCTTAATAACACCTTTTCCTTGTCAATATGTAATTTAGAAATGTTCTTGGAATCTACAAAACACCAGAAAGTTTCTCTGCCACCAATCTTGTCAGATTTATAAGCTTTACCCTTATAAAGAATTGCAGTGGCAAAGGCATTAATATAAACGACATAAACAATAATCTTTGATAGTTAATATGAAAGAGCTTAAATTTACTCCAGAACTTAATGACATGCACTAACATAAATAAGATGGGAGGCATATGACAATTGAAAATAGGCAAAGAAATAGAAGTTCGAACAATGCCTTGATTGAGTTCACTACACCTATCCAAACGTATACACCTACCTCCAGAAAAAGATCTCCAAAATATATTTTATCACCATGTTCAACCACATGATCAGCTACTGCTTTACTAGCTTTAGAGATGACAGACTTGACACCTGGCATCTTAGCCTGCAAGAGATATATCCAATTGAACATAAAAGGGACATAATCACACCAAATGCATGTACATAATCTGCATAAGTATATTCTGTTTTCTCTGGGGAAAACTCATGACAGTATATGAGTGATTCTCTCTCATAAAACACTAGTATATCCTACAATATGCTATCAGCAAAACAGACTTGTATAAAGATGCACATACCTTTATCAATCCTGTTCCTGTAACATGATCAGCATGGACATGAGTATTCATAGCATAGACAAGTTTCAACCCCAGTTCTTTAACAAGAGTTATGTCTCTGTCAACAGTTCTGTCCACCGGATCAATAAGCTGTACAAAAGACAGATATTTAACATATGAACTGTTTGCATAGTTTTAAAGGGAAAAGCATACTTTTCTGTTATATCTTTTTTTTAACAATTACAAACACAATCATAGTAGTTCATTTAAAAAAACTTGATAGTTAATCCAGATCATGGACCAAGAGTGAAAGTATGTTGCAGGATTCTTCAATCAGCAATACGACATGTTCAAGAATGTTATCTTGGATACCAAAGACAAATTCTTTGAATATTGAAGTGTACACCAAAAAGGGTGGCTCAAAACTCACTCAAGATCATCAAGTTATTTAACTTTAGTAAAAGCTTGATCCAAAGTGAAATGTGCTACCTGAATATTTTTTTAGGCCTCAACTACTGTTACCTAACACATGGATAATGTATGAAGAAGCATGTCATTACTCGTTGAAATAATTGCTTTTGAGCTGAAAACTCTCAAGATCAAGCTAGTTCTTATAAGCAACCAACAAGCAAATTCTACTATACCTAAGGTTTCTAATAGTATAGGGGTGTTTTAGATGAAGAATAACAAAAGGAGTTCATAAACCACAACCATTGAGTGGGTAACCTTTTGAGATGTTAGACAAGTCACTTCCAGAACAAATATCCGAATAGTCAACTAGTCTTGTTTTTTGATGACTACAAGATGTTCTGTTAAGCTTTGTGTTTTAATATATCAAGTATTACCTTATCAGGTAGAACTTTATCTTAAATATTACACATCATAGGCTTTATCCTTTCAATAAAGACGCTGCTACACCACAATCAACACCGAGAGATTGCAGGAATCTTTAGGAAATAATAAATAAGAGTACAATATTAACATTGAAGGACTTCAACAACTAACTACTAGAGGAGTAGAAGACAGATAATCATCTTAATATTGGAATCTACAACAGGAAAACTTAACATGTTTTATAATGTGAGTTGATCACTTAACAACCATCAGAGTCAACCATAGTGGAATAAGGCTTCTCAACCTAAAAACCTAAAATATCCTCAGTCAAAGGAGTAGGATACCAACTTCGAATGTATAGTAGACTAACTTTTCTACCAGAACAGGAAGCTCCACAGTCTATTTCTTTTACTTGATTTATGCCTCAGAACAACTGTTTATTAGCCCCAAGTTCTCTGAAACCATACCTGCGCCTGCTCTCTCATAATTCACAGGTATAAGATCAACTCTCCCATCTATGTTCACTGTAACCATGCTCCATACACAGTGACGAGAAAAGACGATGACAAGAGATGCATTAACACACAGTTATAAGAAGGCATCGAGAAGCAGGTTTGTGTACGAACTCAAAAGTTCAACAAACTTTGGAAAAGAAGCCAGAGGAAATTTTGGATCCACCAGTGAACAATAACTAAGGATCAACCTTCCAAGGCACCAGAAGCTAAGTTCTTCCACGATATATCATTTAACTGGTGCTTGATGTAATCAATTGCAGCTATTTGTGATAACACGTTGCGGCAAACTTAGACTTCATGTTGAACATACCCCTGTCGTAGACAAGTTTGACTTCTACTTTATACAACATTGACTTCCGCCGTCCTGGAATCTCAAACAATCCAGATGAAAAGGTTAAACTCCTACACACAGAAGATTCCATACTTCAAGGAACGAAGCATCTTTCGTTCGGACCTAGAAATCAGGATCCGAGGGATCCCCGATCAGCCGCATCATATAAAACTAAAAATAACTCATCTTGATTGGGAAAAAATTCTTGTTTTGTCGAATGAACCAAACAATCTAATAGAAACAGAGGAAACTACCGCAACCTAATGCAAGTCAACAAAGGAAAAGCGAATGAAGGGGGGTGAGCGGCCGACTCACAACGGCAAGCTTGTCGGGGTGGCCGAGGTCGGCGAGGAGGTAAGTGTAGGTCGAGGATTCCTTCTCGAAGAGCTGCCGGAAGAGAAGTCTGGCCGCCATTGCACTCGACGCGACCCTCGATTGCGCGAAGGGGAAGTGCGGTGAAGGTTCGAAGGCAAAGGGAAGAGGCGTCGATGGAATCCCAGCTTAGGCGTCGTTTATATACGTGCGCGGACAAAGGAAGCAATATAAGTAAATAAATAATGGGAGGAATATAAATAGAAATATAAATATAAATATAAATATATATATATATGATGATGTGGGCGATGACATCAGACGTTGGCCCCACATGGCAGTTGGTGAAAGATCATATACTGGCCGTTGGTTTTGCTTCGAAATCTGTGGGTTGGGGATTTAATTTTACCAGCTAAATTAATTGATATTTTCGAAAAATATATTCAACCTTTGATTAAAAAAGATTCTATACACCATTAAAAAAGGTATTTTTTTCTTATTTGGATCTATGAATTTTTTTTCTTAATTTTCTTGATTATATTATCTCGAAATTATCATAAAATAAAATAATTGATATCTGATACTTACATTAATTATGCCTATGATTTTTTGTATTTTTGATGAAATCATGGACTACTTAACTGAGCACATGAATATATTTATGAATCTTCTTTGATAATTTAGAAGACTCATGTTGTTACCCATATGAAAATTAAATTATGAGATTAACTTGTAATTATTATTTCTTTCTCAAGAGGATTGAATGATTTAAGTATTAAAGCTTGAAAATTAGTGAAAGTTTGAGAATGTAGAGATAATAAATGCAAAGAGGGAAATAGAAATAGACTATATATAATGTACAAGGTAAAATTACATCCGATACATGGGAAGAATAATCACAAATATAATTATAGAACAAAACAATCAACACTTTATTTCCAATCATGATCTGATCAATCAAATGATTTTTTTTTTTGGCTGCCATGTGAGACACGGTACGAAGCTTTGTGCTGTTCGATGCTTGATGAATAAGAGTACCCAATAGTGGAGGCGGTCAACCACAAGTCATGTCTCCTTCCTGTGTTGAGGTGGCACTGGAGACATCATAAGCTTAGTTGTTCGTGATGTGATTCAAAATCGTATGTACAAAATTATTTAAAATATTTTTAAGATGAAGACAATAAATTTTGGGTGTAACACTTGAAAATTGGAATAAAAAAGATTTTTTGATTCGATATCCTCTTACACTTAATTTAATAATCTCAAGTCTTCGAGTAAACGAATGATAAAAAAAGATAAATCTTTATTAAAAATATATGTGTATACATGATTACATGAGTGAATAAAATATTTTAAGAGATATAAGATGATCTAGACTGCATGTGATAGTTACGTGTCGGATGATAATTAATTAATTATATATTTCTATCAACAAGTTAATTGAACTTGATAGAGGATTATTTATTATGATGATGATGACGAGCTTTATAAGAAAAAAAAAAAAGTGTACTTCTCATGCAGAGCATAGTTTACCCTGCTCTCATGAGTGATAATAGATTTATCAATGCATCTTGTCTTCTCTATCAGATTAAATATTGTTTAGATGGATTGTGCTTGAATCTCCTGGTCACATAGTTTCATTTCATCATTGTCCAAGTGATGTCCCAGTATTGGATTCGTCATTCTTTCAATGCAATATTTCCATGGACTTAAGCTTCATAGAATTCATATATAAAATATGAGTGATTTTTTGTTGAACCGAATTTTTCAGCCAAACCGATTCAGCGTTAGTCCAGATTGATTATAATATATTTTGAATAGAGGTGTAATGTTTTTGGTAAAACACGTTAAAGTTGAATAATGTGTTTTTCAATTATCATCCTTTCATGATAAATAATTTGACGATGATAAAGAAAGTACTGACAGATAAAAATTTCCTTGAATAATGTCTTTTTTTTGTTTTATCATTATTTCCGGACAAATGATCAAATAATAATAAATAAATTATCAATAGATTGAAAAAAAAAAACTTTCTACAAAACATCATAACAAATATTGAACATTGCGTTAAGCTCCATTTTAACCTATGTAATTTTGATCGTAGATCATTTAAGCTCTTATGATTCATTCGTATCTAAGATAACTTCTATATTTTAAAAATATAATATATAAGTTCCTTCCATTATGTGTGAATTAATAAATATTAGAGCTTTTTTAACTGACATGTTGACTCATAATAAAATATTCATATAATGATACTTGTAATTTAGGTTCAAAAATGATTAAGATCTATTTTAGCTTATGTGGTTTTGATCATAAATTACTTAAGTCCTTATGATTTATTCATGTCTAAAATAACCTATATATTTTTAAAAACATAGTATATAAATCCTTAATGTCAAGTTTGAGTTAACAAACGTTAAAGTCTGGGTATGTTGACTCACAATAACTCATTAATATAATGACACATATAATTAAAGTTAAAAAAAAAACTAAGATCACCATCAATAGCGAGATGAGATGTTGTCATGGAAGTGACAACCACTAGCAGCACCGAGTTACTACTACTTAATAGGGCATCATACACACACTGCCTTTCTCGTGTTGATGATAAGCTTAGGAGCTTCCGATCCTGCCTAAGTGAATGTGCGTCAACTAATCTGACACTAGACACGCTGTGGTCTCCTAGTCTCTCTTCTTCCTCCTATGTTTCTTCGTCCTCACCACCTCCACTTCGTCCTCTCTTGCACCTCCACCCATCGTGCTTACAACATGGTGGTCCAACTCTTCCTTACCTTCGCCTCTAGTCTCTCATACATTTACCTTTCTGCCTTCGTCCACTCCTATGGCCTCCGTCGCTTTCTCTTTTTTGATAAGATGAACTTTAACCATTTTTTAAACTTAAATTATATGTATCATCATATTAATAATTTATTACGAGTCAGTATGTCATGTACGCAGATTCTACCGTCTATTAACTCAAACTTGATAGGAAGAACTTATATACTACGTTTTTTAAAATGTAGAGATTATTTTAGACATGAACAAATCATAAGAGCTTTAGTACTCCATAACTAAAACTATAACAATTAAAATAGATATTAATTATTTTTTTAACTTAAATTATATGTGTCATTATATTAATTATTTATTATGAGTCAGCATATCATGTAAGTAACTCTAATGTTTATTAACTAAGATTTTATAAAAATTTATATATTATATTTTTAAAAATATAAGATTATTTTAGATACAAATAAATCAGACTTAAGTGATCTATATCAAAATCACATTATTAAAATAGATTTTTTTTTTGTTGCAGTAAATTGGAAACTTATATTGAACTTATAAGAGTTACAGCAGTAGAATTAAGGCAGCACAAACCGGAGTCAGAAAACAGACAAACAAGCCATGAATCGCCAAGAACACAAAGGCAGCACAAACCGGAGTCAGAAAACAGACAAACAAGCCATGAATCGCCAAGAACACAAAGGCAGCAAGCTTGAAACAAAACTTGACTCAGCTGATCCACCACCCACCTCCCACTCCTCCTGGTCCCCAAGTTGTAGCTCATATCAGGAATTCAAGCCATAAGCTCTCCTTTGGAAGACAACCCAGCAAAAGAAAGCGGTGCATAGTTGGAGGTATGTAGGAAGGGGGTATCATCCTTTGCTTCCATGCAACCAAGTGAGAAGAACACAGTTGCAGAATCTGACTGAAGATCCATCTCCCACCAGAATCCTAATCCGACCAAAAAGCAATCTAAATCCGACATGGTAGGCACCAACTACCCGGCTGTTATGTCCTTAAAGTTATTGTATTGCCATGTCCATGGCCGTGTCACGTGGGCATACGTAGGGATCTCCACCATGGTTGTGGCTTGCATGTGGCTCGAGTCTCTTAAAGGCTTTAGATGATGCACACCGGAAAACATAGACCGCGGTAAAAGGAACCAAGCATGTGTGGCTTGAAGTCTATCCTCAGCGATGGACCCAGAAGAGACACACTTTAGGTCACGGGCTATGGATTCTCTCATTAGATGTCTTGTTCCCACGTCATTTATGGCTGCAAGGGGCACATCGTTTCCATCCCACATGCAGCTTGGTTCTTCTTGGAACTCCTCCTCCTCCTCCTCCTCCTCCTCCCTGTGAGAAGAGAGGCAAAGCGTGTTTGTTTCTTCTGCTGTTGTGTTCTGCCATGGGAGGCCGCTCCAGCTTCCTCCGTGTCGCCCTTCTCACGTTCTCGTTGGGGTTCTATTTCGTCTCATGTTGTGTTGGGTTCGTCGAGGGCGGCTACAGCAATGCCACGAAGAGGAAGAGGGTCCCCGTCCGGCACCAGCTCTCGCTGGACTTCTACGCCAACACCTGCCCCCACGTCGACCAGCTCGTCGCCTCCGTCACCGCCCGAAGGTTCCGTGACTCGCCGGCGTCCGGTGCCGCCACCATCCGCCTCTTCTTCCATGACTGCTTCGTCGAAGTAAAGCCGAAAAATCTGTGTTGCGCGGCGCATTGTAGCAGGATCCTATCTTCACTGGCTAAAGTGCGCCGCGTGTGTTGGATGCAGGGCTGCGACGCGTCCATACTGATCGCGCCGACCACCGGCGGGAAGGTGGTGGTGGAGAGGGACGTGGAGGACAACAAGAACCTGGCGCCCGAGGCGTTCGAGACAGTGGAAATGGCCAAGGCGTTGGTGGAGAGCAAGTGCCCCGGCATGGTCACCTGCGCCGACATCCTTGCCATGGCTGCCAGAGACTTCGTCCGCCTGGTACTTCCTTCAAAGCTCTCATACTTATCATAACGATGAAGCCATAAAGATAACCTACAAGGAGTAGCGAAAAGAATGCATGCACCTCATACCGTTCATGATATCATCAAAGCAATCCTTAATTGGTCTCCATCAGCCTCTTCACTTGTGTTGGAGGTTCTCCTTGATGTGCTTCTTGTACAAGCCAAACTTAGGTGTGGCCTGGAGTTGTTTGCTAGGTAGAAGATAGTGTTTCACAGCCCACAGCAGACAACTGGATCTACTTGTAGCTGTAAATATATAATCATAAGATTTTGTTGTTTTGGTAGATGACATCTGGGTTCTGTTTTCGTTCTCAAGATCAACTCAAAGTCTGCCATTTAGTCGAGTGTCTTCTTTCTTTGAGCCGTCTGATACATGTAGCCGCTTAGATTATCCCATCCTTTCTTGTCTGGTTTCTCAGTGTCAAGCGACTGATCTGACACTGCTTCGATGTAAGAGATCCACTTCACATGTGTTCTTTGGCCATTATTTCTCGTGACAAATGCACTGTGTAACACTCCCACCATCTCCTCATGATTGAGATGGCCTGTGACAGGAGGAAGGACAAAGAGAAATGAAGCGTATATTGGTATTTCCCTTTAATTAGATCGTTGAGTGCATGCAGGCAGGAGGGCCGAACTATGGCGTGAAGAAGGGGAGGAAGGACAGCAGAGTGTCGATGGCGGGGAAGGTGAGGGGTAACCTCCCTCGAGCCAACTCCACGGTGGACGAGCTCATCCGGCTGTTCGCGGCCAAGGGGTTTCGCACGGAGGACCTGGTGGCGCTGTCGGGGGCGCACACCATCGGCTTCTCCCACTGCGACCAGTTCGTGAGCCGACTGTACGACTTCCGCGGCACCGGGGAGCCCGACCCCTCGATCGACCTGCGGCTCCTCAAGGCGCTGCGGATGTCGTGCCCCCGCTCCGGCGGCAACAACGACGTGGTGGCGCCGTTCGACGTGCAAACCCCCTTCTCCTTCGATCACATGTACTACGGCAACCTGGAGGCCAAGATGGGGCTGCTGGCCACGGACCAGGCGCTGTTCCTGGACCCGCGGACGAGGCCTCTGGTGCAGGGCCTGGGAAGGGACAAGGTCAGGTTCTTCGATGCCTTCGCTGCGGGCATGGAGAAGATGGGATCCATCAGGGTGAAGAAGGGGAAGACGGGGGAGATCAGGAAGGTCTGTAGCAAGCACCTGGCAGCTTGATGTGCATGGTCTTTTGTGTATTGGCCTTGCTCTAGTCACTTTTTCTACTTCCAAAGGTATTCATTTGTTGATCTGTGCGCCTCACTATTCTTTGCTTCCTTGTTGAACCGATCTCCTCTCTCGAACAAAGAGATGCTGCTGCGTCTGTTCAACTGAAGTCTCTGCTGCATTTATTGATCGCTTTTTCTGCAACACACTTGACTCGATTCGAGCTGCTATTTATCATACCATTGAAATTGTACTTTTTTCATTAAAACAACTTAAGAAAGACAAGTTATTGGCAAAAGAACAAGAACCTTATGATATAGGCCATGGAGTAAGAAATCTGAGTGAAACATGGATAAGTTGCAGATGTCCTTTGCCTTGATTACTACCCTGCTGTCGATGTGCTTCTTTGAGCATGAGTGGCTGAACATATTCGAGGAACAGGATCTATGGACATCAGATATATCTATGGCTGACTTCTCCTCTGCACCCTTTCTCCATTACGCACCGGACTGGGCACTCTGTGCTGAAATATATCCACCTCCATTACCATCTCACAAAGCAAAGTAGGCTGGCTTTCGTGGCTATCATCATTTGATATCTGAAGATTGCTCACTCAATCACATCGTATAAGCTTTGGGTCAGTTTAGCAGATTACATGACAGCATGAGATTCCAAGCAGCAGTTTCGGTTACATTTATCTTCATCTATACCATAAAAGAACTCATGCTGCTTGATATGGCAAAAAATGGTAAACCCCACTCCCGACAACGCCCCCCGCACGTGGACAGGCGCGGCGCCCCAGGAAGAGCAACGTGGGCAACGGTCTGCGTCCGGACGCCAGCCTCACTGAGCCCACAGCCCCTCAGTCAACCCAGCACAGTAGGACGAGACAGAAGTAGGTAGCGGTTGAAGCTCGCCCATACCCTGCGATTCCCCGGTCCCATACGCAAGATCCTCGACGATGTCGGACGCCATCAGAGATACGGCCCCGACCGACGGGATGGCGCGCCCGATAATGCCGAGTTCCCCTATAAACGTCCTCAAGCCAGAGGGAAGAGGGCAGGCTGAACTCCCCGAACAACCGCCACCGCATCTCTCTAACTTAATCGTCGGAGGGGTCGGGTCAAGCCGACCCGACCTTTGTGCAGGTATCAAGCCGAGGACTCCCGTCCGGGACGCACAGCCAAGGGATCCCCACCCGGAGGAAGTCGCTGCATCGCCCCGAGCCCGAGGCCGCCCCGACCGCCCCGGTGGAGGCGCGCATCGCCCCAGGGAGATCCCCGCTATTCGGACCCCCGAACGAGCCGAGACGACCTCTCGGGTCACGGCTAAGAAAAAAAGGTGTTTACACTAACATAATGGCGCTAGAAGGAGGGCCGGTCCGAATGACAAGCGATCAACAGGCTCACTCCGACGAACCCCCGACCATCCGGTCGCACACGACCGACGCAATGGATGAGCATCCCCAACAGGGAGGGGTCCGAGACGAGCGCCCCGCTGCGATCTCGGAGCGCTACTGGCGATTGTTCAACGACCCGGGTCTATCGCCGCCCGTCGCCAATCCCGGCGGCCCGTCGCCCGTACCGCCCGAAGCCTTCCACGATCTCACGCACCAGGTCCGGGCTCTTGCGGGAGTGATGCAGACCATCATCCCGCTGGTCTCTCCCCCGACGTCTTCACATTCAACTCTACCTCCTCCACGGCAACGGTCCGCCACCCAAAACCCCGCATCGCTCCCCGAGTCTCCCGCTTCGCCTCTAGGCCGATCGACTCAGCTCGGGAGCCGAGGAGCGGAGGATCCAACGGCGCGCCCGACGCCCGCGGCCCCACTTTCAGACTCGGCGGAGGGCCTGTGGGCCCAGCTACGCCTCGTGGGCCGCTGGTTGGACGAGGTGCAACGTGAGGTTCGCCAGACCAGGGGAGACCCGGGGGCCGAACAACACCAGGGGTCCCCCTTCACCCCCGAGATTCAAGAGCAAGCAATCCCGCCGCATTTTCGGCTCCCGTCATTAGATGCCTATGACGGTGCCACCGATCCGGCGGACCACGTGGCTGCTTTTCGCGCCCAAATGGCACTATACGGGACGTCCGACGCCCTGATGTGCCGGGCGTTCCTGACAACCCTACGGGGCCCAGCTCGAGCATGGTACAGCAATCTGAAGACCGCGACCATCGCCTCTTTCGACCAGCTGGGTAGG